GCATCTTAGCGGGAAGCGGCCGGGAATGCTGTGACCTCCCCGCCGAGCGAGGCCGAAGCATCAGCCCCGGGGATGCTCGGAGGGGCGGCGATGCTCTCCCTGCCCCGGAGCATCTCTCCCCCCGCCTCCTCTCTTCCCAGCACCTCCTCTCAACCCTTTTTCTCCTTTCCCTGTGTTTTAGGTGGCACCTGCACCTGCGGGGACAACTGCAAATGCAAAAACTGCAAATGCACATCATGCAAAAAAGGTAAAGGGGGAGGGGGGGTCCCGAGCCCCACGGAGGGGGGGAGCGCAGAAACACGCGTGGGGGTTTTCACTACACATCCCTGGACACACGGAACCAAATCAGGCTCAGCATTGCCAGAGCTGAGTTTATCCCTCCTGTATTTTTTTTTTTTTTGCCCCCAAAGGAGCACAGGGGGAATTTCCCCCCCAACTTTCTTCCCCCCACCCCCGCCAGGCAATACAAACCACTCGCTATAACCCAAAATTCAGTGTACCCCTCGCTGGTGCCCAAGGCTCAGCGCAAGGGGACGCCCCGGGAGGAAACCGGCACCGGGATTTCTTCCGGCTGCTCCTGATGCCGTCAGTCCCAGACAGAGCCATGTGCAGGAGGGTTTGCCCAGAGTGGGGGGGCCCCAGTGAGCCCCGGGGAGTCCCGCACCCCCCTGCTGCCTCCGCAGTGCCGACCCTGGGTGCGAAATCACCCCAGGAGCTGCCGCCGGGGATGGGGATGCTGCTAAAAAGGGAGGACACAGGGGTCGTGGGTGGTCTCCAAACCAGCCATCTCCCACAGAACCCCCCCCACATCCCACCCTGAGACCCCCCCGGGAATGTCACTGACTTATTTTTCTTCCTCCTCCCCCCCCAGGCTGCTGCTCCTGCTGCCCGGCGGGATGCGCCAAGTGCGCGCAAGGCTGCGTCTGCAAGGGACCCCCCTCCGCCAAGTGCAGCTGCTGCAAGTAGGGACCCCCGGCTGCACATCTGGGGGTGCCGCATATCTGGGGGGGGCTGAAGAAGAATAACCTTATTGTGTATGTTGGGCTGGTTTTTTTTTTCTTTTTTTTTATATATGTTCAGATATCTTTAGTGTTTGTCACTTGTGACGTGTAATAAGCTACCTAAATAAAGTGATGTGTATATAAAGGTCTCTAAGGAACCTGGTGCTTCTGTTGGAGGGGGCGGTTTCCCCGGGGGGGGGGGAGTGCAGCGCGTCTGGGGGGTCATGGCAAAGGGCCCGCGTCTTATTTTCGCTCTTTTCTTCCAGTCTTGGCTCTGCCCTCCCTACCAGCAGCTCC